TTCAATATTATTGGTTTGACTCATGATATCCTATTTTTCATATATGCAGTTATGTATCCATAAAATATAGAGCTGACATATGCAAAATTATTTTTTAGAATAAAATACTTAGATTACCTTTTTAGTTTGTATTAATTATACAGAACTCCTTTCTATTTTAAGAACATACTACCTCTGGTCCTAATTATAAGAGCCAGTTGACTAATTTGAGGAGATTAAATAAGTAAATTGAGTTAGTTATTTGTCCTAAATAGGTGTTGTCTTTCCTAAAATATCCTTGCTAATCAAATGTATTGACTAGAATTATAATTATTAGAAGGACTATCTTGAAAAAAATTGAGTAAATATAAGGGACAAAGTGGATTGGGGTCTTATATTTAGAACCAAAATAAAAGTCAAACAGGATTTTATATTAAAAGCCGGAGGTAGTACATTTTAATCCAATTAGTTAATACTCCCCCCAATTCAAAATATAAGCTAAACTTTGTTGGAGGGGTTTATTTTTTTATAAGATAACATTTATTTTTTGTTTAAGCATTTAATGAATTTTTTCCAATTTTATCCTACATATATTCTCTTTCTTCTTTAATTCATTTATTGCATCCATTATTTATTCTTTTCATTAATAAAAGCATATTTAAAAATAAAAAAATATATGTCTTGCATATTTATTGTTTGAAACTGATTTTAACTAATTTCTTGATAATAAATGGATAAAGTTTAGCTTATGTTTTAGGAATATTCTAAAAAGATTTTAAAAATATCATCTCTAACTGAAATTTATATTAAAATAAATTTTATTTACTAATTTTACCTCTCATTCCAATAAATTTCTAAATTATATTTTTATAATTACATGAATTTCATTCAGTTAAGATAAATATAAAAGACTTGACTAAAAATTTAACTAATTTTTTCAATAAATATATATACTTGACTAAATATGTTTATAAATTTTTGTAATAAAGGCGTGTTTAAAAATTTTGAATTATAAATTTAAATAATTTATAAAATCTTTTAAACTTATAAACTTTGGTAACAGAAATTAGCGACAGAATTTTTAATTACAAAGTGAAAACAGAGCATAGCATCTTTGTTCTCATAAACACAGTAAGCCTATATATACACGTGCACCTCTCTCTCTCTCTCTCTCTCTCTCTCTACACACACACATGTACATGCCTTGATATAGTTATTTAGATGTTATCAGAGGAATAAGTCCTGGTCGCAGAGCTCATCAGAGCATAATCTCACAAGAAATATTCAAAACTGGTAAATACAGGCTAACGTCAGGAAAATAGAACCCCAAAAAAAAAAAAATCACAAGCTCAGATCATTTTCTGGTTTCAAGATCCAGCAAGTATTTCGACTTATATGAGATTTAAATACGCGTACCAACCAAGGTCGAAGAATTATGCAAAACTCTCTTCTAAATTGTTATTAAAAAAAACTGCGCAATTGTAAAATAATGAAATAACAACATATAGCAAGTAAAACTCAAACATTTGATGCCATAGAAAGATAATAAAAAGTCAGAAGTAGATAGAACTGATGAATATAGATAAAACCAAAATGTACAAAAGGTTTTGTGGGTACATTTCCATCAAAATTGCCAAGACAAAGTAACTTTAGAATGTAAAAGTGAGAATTTATTCATGGCAAGGCTACTGAACACACGTATCACACAGAGACACGAGGCTCTCTACATAAAAGAATCCTTCACTCACATCACCCACAGGTAAAGTAACGTGGAACTTCTTCACTTCATTATTAGTAGTGAAACTGAGCAAACTACGTCCCCCACAACCAAATTTAAGGCAGAATATTTCATTCCTCCGAAAGCATATTGGATATAAGGAACGTAAGGTTCGTCCAATTCTCTATTTCTTAGTCCAACCCGAACTCTTCCCATGTGCATCATCACAACCCTCTTCCAATAACACCCATATATCGATAAAAGAAGCTTCTTGCGCAAAGGAAGGATGAAGCATAGCAACTTTGTCCTCGTTCACATAAGGACAATTCTACTGAGAGGAGTATCTGAGGTCGAAGAAGGTAATGATATCAATGTAAATACTTCCATTGCTATGTCAAATAAAACTATCACACGACGTTGATTTTCACCGTCGTCGTTGTCGTCACTATCATCAGATCCCAACCAAAATATATAGCTCCATTAGCAGTGACAGATTTACTAGATTACTAGATTCAAATATTACACTCCATATAGCCCCAAGTTCTACTTTTACACTACCACTCCGTCCACGAAGAGACTATATTTAACATCATAAACATGAATTCCCACTATCTTATAATCCTTAACCACAGGACTAAACCTAAATCCCTGTATAAAATGGTCATAGGTGACATCATCGTTTATTCTGGCCACTTGCCTTACCTTTCTAGTCGCTGGGTTCAACATCAAAAGCGAAGGAGGAGAATAATCATCGTTATGATCGAGTTTCAGAAGTAGCAAGCCGTTGCAGGAACCAATGATCTCATGAAAACGACTTGGTAAGCCGTCCGTCGTTGGTATTCTCTCAACTTCCACAGATTCCATTTTATAATAATGAAGCAAACATAAGGACGAATAATATCTAGGGTCGGATCCGAATGAATGGAAGATGAGAAGAGGATTTTTGTAGGCAAAGTTGTGGTAGTGCTCCTCAATGAAATATGGGGTTTTGCAGAGATTCTTTCAATCTTTACACACAGAAATCGAACAAGGAATTTAACTGGGAGCCTTTTGAAAATATTAATGATGATCTCCAGGGGCAGAACCGGATTATCACATCGAGCCGCCATCTGCTTGCGGGAGGGAATTACGAATTAGGGATCGGAGTGTAGGAGACCAACGAGCTGCAATTATTCGATTCAGATTCGTATCATTATCATTGTTTCAGTCTTTATTTTAAAGACTATAGGAGAGATTTATTTTCGCGAGTTAGATTTATTTTATTGTATTTCTCGTTTGCCCCAAAAAAAATCTTATTTTCCCATCAAGGGTACTTGCATCGAATTCTTTATATCCCTTATGTCAAGTTCTCCAGTTATATTATTATATCAAGTTCTCCGATGGCACATACCCATGTATCTTATTTTTAAAATAATAACATTTAATAATGAATATAATTGACTTGTGGTTTTTTTCCTTCTCCGATCTAGATAGTTTTCTTTATCTATAAAATATCGAACTGTTATCTGCAAAATTATTTCATATATTGCTAAATCTGAAAAAAAATGTTTTTAGGGAAGGAAGTTGTATTATATGCATTGGAAATTTAGCTTTTTAAATGAAATCTTCTTACACCTCTCATTGGCCATATTATGCCTTGCCATTAACTTTGAGAGGAAGAAATTAGTGTTTTATAAAGGGGGAAAAAAAACTGTAACTTTCGTCAAATACATATATAGCAGATAAAACTTAGATATGATACTTAAATATGATAGTGATAGGTATGAAGATGAAAAGATATAAAATATTTTACAAATAAAGAAACGCAAGTCTCACATTGGCCACATTGGTCAAGTCAATAGAAATAATGAAATTATTTTTTTCAGTTAAACAGGCCGAAAGCTTGTGCACTGACTTTGAGTCTGCTAACTCAAGGGCCGAGCCTAGCAAAATGATGCATTTAGAGACACAGGTCTAAACCGGCTTGCCTGTTTTTCTAGTGCTAGACCAGAGTTAGTGTGTACTAAAAACATTATTTCTTAAAAAAAATATTATTAAGTATTCGGATTAAAGTATTAAAAAGATTATTTTGCAGTCATACTTAGCAAAATTTTAGTGATAATGGAAAATTATTTTTCAATCATGAATAATTTATATAAACGATAACTATTAAAAATCTTTAGAAAGTTCTAAAGAAAAGGAAGCACCTAGGTATTATAGTATTTAGTGGATTTTTTTCAATTAACATTACCGACCTTCAAGTTTCTCCATAGCTGCTTCAAAGGCAAATCCGAAGTTTGCTAACTGTCGTAGGCCTGACTTCGGCATTTTCGCAATCCTTATCTCGGTTCTGATTGTTTATGCAACACTAACCTTAGCACTTGTACTTTGCCTCTTACCGTTTAGACAAGTTGACTTGGAAGTCATCACTGCTTCTGGTAGCATTTGGAATCGACTATATACTAGTAATGATCTTGTGTTCTTTCTTGTCTCTTACTTTTAGTATGAATTAATTAATCTTTTTTTTTTTACCAGCAAATGAATTAATTAATCTTTTCTTACCATCTAAGGGCTCTTTTATTATTTCCTGTCACTATCAAATAAAACCAAGGAGTCTTATGTAAGGACTTGATGAATACTTGAATTATTTAACATGTTGAGCATCATACTGTAACTATTTCTGGAAAATTGCCTTGACTTGCAGTTTTCTTGAGAATTTTATGAAAAATTTGCGTATGACTTCAAAGTTTCTTGAAGTGGCTTGATGTCACTTCTATTGTGACCTTCCAATTAACTGTTAACACTTGACTGAGAGATACTTCGCTTACAAACTGTTAATACGTTGCTAGTAAGCAAAGAAATTTAATATTCACATTGCCTTCTTTGCATTTTTGCATATATTGGTTTTCCAGCTCTTAGACCGTTGGCTGGTTCGTCCAAAAGCAGACCTTTTCCAGAGCTGAGTTGAAAAACACTTGACAATATACACGGTAGTGAGGGTCAATACCAAAGCTTAATGATGTTTTTTTTATTTATTGTTTTACTAATGCAACTAATGCATTTAAACTTGTTTTTGCTCCCTTTATTTTGAAGCTGAACAAACTAGCCATCTGTCATCTTGTTATTTCATTAGTCATGCCAAAATAGAGTTACTTAGCCAGTTTCTTGCAAACATATACAACAATCCTTGGAAGTAGGTACAAATACATATATTATTAATACTACCTCCGATCTTAATTATAAGACCTTGTTTGTAGATGCTTGGAATAATGGCTGGGTCTTGCCAGATAAGATGCTTCAAAGTTCAAATGGTACTATTCTTTGGAAACAAAAGCTGAACCTTTTTGTTATTACTGGACCGTATGGTTGATGAGACAAAAGAGTAAACCCATATGCACCAACTTAAAGGAGGGATTGTTCCACAGGATATGCCATTGTGTATGAAGAAATAAATAACGATAGTTTGATTGTATATGAATCACAGGGCAACTTCTCCTTTGCCAGTTAGCCACTGTTTCTATGATTTTCACTTATGGTTTGTTCCCTGCGAAAGGAGATTCCCAGTGATTTTCCTGCAACTTCTGTGTCCAAAATCGGTGTGTGCTTATCTTATTTAGGCCATTCAGATGTTATGCATGGTTCGTTTTCCTTTTTCTCATGTACTTGCAGCTGAATTTCTCTAGGAGTATTTTGTAGCTTTGGATATCTTCTTTTGAGTTCCATTTTCTTCATAATCTCAAAACAGAATAAATTTTTAGAAGAGATCAGATCTTAGTCATCTTGAACATTTCTAGATAGACATCTCCAATTAAGAACACCCCTTCTAGGATTTGAAAACGAGGATGTGTCAGTGCACAATTAATGTAAACCATAAAAATTACTTGATCTCAACAATTCCAAACTACAATGAAAACACCATGAAGAGCAGCTGAAATATGCACAAGAGCTATAACAGCCTTCGTCATTAGGTTTTAAGGAGATGTGATATGATGGTCCGACATAACCTCACAAGAGATTGTCAAAAATGGTAAATACAGGCAAAATACTTCAGAAAAATAGAACAACAAAAATAAAAGCTTAGACCAGTATCTGGTCTCAAAGAGACGAGATCAAGTATTTTGGCTTCGACATATATATACGTGCACCGACCAAGGTGGGATAATGGAAGCTGTGTTTCTAGCATTCAGAGCTGCACTTAATATCACCACACAACAAATCTGCATCACGATGCAGCATGCTGTACCTCTCTCTCCCTCTCTCTCTCTCTCTCTATCTCTCTACACACACTCACACGTATCTTAATATACTCATTTAGATGTTATCAGAGGAACAAGTCCTGCTCATATAGCTCATCGGAACATTTTTCCCGAGATTAGGAAGCTTCACGCTAAGTTTAACGTTGCAAGTATGAACAAATGTTAATAATTGTACCATCTTCATCATGAAAAAGAATAAATAAATGACGACATGATGCACATGCAAGTCTCCACTCCATCAAAGTAGCATTTTGCCTTTGAAATATGCTCTCTTGTAATTTTTTTTCCTAAAAAAGTGTGCAATGTTTACCGGAAAAAAAAAAAGACACAAAAACATAGCAAGTAAAACTCAACATCTGATGACATAGAAATATAAAAAATCAGAAGCAGATAGAACTTTCTCTATTCTAGATAACAGATACAACCAAAATGTATTAGCAAGACCAAGTAAATCTAGAATACAAAAGTGAGAATTTCATGACAAGGCTATCCAACATATGTGTCGTGCATAGGCACGAGGCTCTCTACATAAAAGAATCCTCCACTCACAACACCAACAGGCAAAGAAATTTGGAACTTCTTCAATTTGTTATCAGTACGTAGTGAGATTGAGCGAACTCACACATTCAAGGTTTTGGCAGAATATTTCATTCCTCCAAAAGCATATTGGATATAAGGAACGTAAAGTTGGTCTGAAACTATATTTCTTAATTCTTAGTCCAACCCCAACTCTTCCCATATGCAGCCCTTCCCACTTCCAACACCCATAAATCAATAAATGCAGATTCATGGGCAGGGTATTGATGAAGCATAGCAACTTTGTTCTCATACACATCAAGCACAATTAGATCAGTGATAAAAACAAATCATGGAAGATTTAGTATCATAACTTTTCTACTCCCTCCAGTCCTATATATGAGCTTCAAATAACTAAATCGCATTTAACAACCAAGGAGTTAAAATTAGTCAAAACAATAAATAGATTAAAGAAAATATTTTTTTTCCAAATATGCTCTTATTTATTATGAGAGTAATTGAGAGAGACAATACTCCCTTCGTTCCTTATTATGAGAGACATTTGATGCTTATGGCATATTCTTATATATAAGAGACACCTAGAAGTTGTCTCTATTTTTTTGTGTTGATGTCCTATTTTACCCATATTTATTGTCTTCAACTCACACTCTCTCTCATTCCCACTTCTCTTTTTTTGAATAATTTACCATTGTTCTCTCTCATGCTCTCTCTCCTTATTAATGAGGGCTTTTTTGGAAAAAAAATTATACCTTTTACACATTGATTGTTCTTAACTAATTTTAACAACGTAATTCGGTTATTCGTCTCTTATAATAAGGAACGGAGGGAGTAAAAGAATAAAAGATGAGAGAGAATATATAGGCTAGTATATGCCACAGAGAGAGTACATATAACAGAGAGAGAATGAATTATTAAAATAATTGGAGGGAAATCAAGCTAGCCACCTTTCTAATTAATGCTATTCATAGTCATTGGAAAAGATAAAACACTAAATAAAATCAACTAAGGGTAAAATTGGAAAAAAGTATTAGATGTTCAGACAAAGTTCAAAATGAAGCTTATAAATTGGACCAAACCCCTTTTCAAATGTGAAGCTTATATATAGGACCGGAGGGAGTATTATAGAAACAACCGAAATGTTCAATGCTATCTTTTGTACGGATTCATTTCCACCAAAAGTTCTCAAAGTAAATCAGCCACATAACAATCAGAGTTTCAGTGCAAGCTTAATCAATAATGGAAAAATAAAACAATAATGGCATCTAAAAATGTTAGGGAGCTTCTCCAATTCATTAGTGGTGAGTTGGAACAGAGTACAAAGGTATATATGCCATACTTCACTCTCACTTTCTCCAATTCATTAGTGGTGAGTTGGAACAGAGTACAAAGGTATATATGCCATACTTCACTCTCACTCTCCTTTCACCAATGAGTTCAATACTTTCAGTAAGGCTGCAAGAAACCTCATTCTACCAATTAATATTTGGAAAACAAATGACTTAAGTCAGTCTTGTTAACCTTTCCTTCCAGTATGTCTAAGTGGACAACAAAACCCAAAGAATTTATATAGCAGCAATTAGACACGCACACGCGCACGCACACTATAGATGTATTAGAACTAAACACACACACATTAGAACTAAACATCTGAAGATGTGGAAAGTCGAAAAGTTGGAAGCAGCTAGAACTCAATTTCTCCATTCTAGATAACAAATCTAAGGGGCATATGGTTCACTCTCTTCTGCTGTATATAATAGCAACTAAACTATATATTCATCCATGAGAAACACAAAGCAATAACTCATACAGTTCGCTCTGGGTAATAATTTTATTGCTTCATTAGATTAAAAAAATGAGAAAGAAAGAAGCTTTAATCCATCACGTCCACCTTTCCTTCCCTCTAAGTATATTGAGTAGCCAACAAAACCCAACTAATTCATACAGCAGCAACTAAACCATATGTCGTCCATGAAGATTGAACATATCATGATATATGAAAGGGTAAAATAAAGTTTGAAACAACTAGTACTGAATTTCTCCATTTCAGATCACAGATCAAAAGGGGCTTCAAGGATTATAGATGCAACCAAAGTGTAAAAAGGTTTTGTGCGTTAATTCCCACCAAAATTATTGTGACAAAAGAAATCTGGAATGTAGAAATGATCATATGTAAGAGCCCACCAAAAATACTGTGACAAAAGAAACCTGGAATGTAGAAATGATCATATGTGAGAGCAACGCTAGGGGACCTGCGTGTTCCAAACAGACACAAGGCTCTCATCATAATTGAAAATATCACACCAGTCACAGTCAATTGAACAGTTGAACGTCCTCCGTTCATTAGTAATGAGATTGAACATATGAAGAACGCATTTTGGGTTACCCTCCACCTCAGTCTCTTTAATGTGATAGCAGACTATTTCATTCCTCCAAACACATACGGGACGTATAACACCTGACATTGGTCCAACCCTATCTTTCTGAATACAACTCAAACCATTCCCAGATGCACTAGCAACGTCCTCCACCTCGCAAACACCGATGAAATGAGATCCAGGGCCCTCTTTAATCACATAGTGACCCTCAAGTTTGTTCCCGTACACACCAAATGAAACATCATGTTCAGTTGGTCTTGGTGTTGGTGTTAATGTAAACACTTCCCTTGCTATGTCGAACGAAATTATTATGGATGAGAAAGACCGGAATCCAGACCAAAAAATAGTTCCATCAGCATTCAAAGCACCACGTAAAACTTCTGTATGCCGTAAAGCCTCAGACTCCAGTTCCTTCCATGACCCTGTGCTTAATGAAAACACTTCCACCCGATCATGCTTGATGAATTGAAAGTATTGATTTTCCCTCTTTCTACGCAACTCTTGATTGTAGAATCTCACTATCTTGTAATCATTAACGATGCTACTGAATCCAAATCCTAGACAGCAAACGTACCTATGATCATTCAGTGTGCTAGGTACTTCTATAACTTCTCTAATCACCGGGTTCCACAGCCAAAGCGAACTAGAAGACCTGCCTCGATTATGAATGACTTCGACACAAAGTAAGCCATTGCAGGAACCAATGATTCTCCAACTGCGTCTGAAGGGAATGCTCAGAACTTCAACGGTATCCATGTTATAATTAAGCAAACATAAGGACGAGGACCAATGACGAACATTGTGTTCACGGAGGAGAAGGGGTTTTGGTGATCAGAATGGCGGAGGTGTTCAGCGATGAAAGATGGGGTTTTGAAGAGATTTTTCCATTCTTTACACAGAGATTGAAATCGAACAAGGGATTTGACAGGAAGCCTTTTGAGTATGTTGATGATAATCTCGAATGGCAGAAAGGGGTTGTCGCCTCCGCTCGCCATCTGCCTGCGAAAGGGAATTAGGATTTCGGAATTGGCACTCATAGGAAGAGGAGGAGTCGAGCAAGGGTCTGAATAGTACTGGGAAAACGGGCCGGCCCGGCCCTGCAGGGCCGGCCCGTGACGGGCTCGGGCTTAAACGGGCCGGCCCGTTTAAGCCCGAGTTTCAAAAATAAGTCATTTTTTCAAGCCCGGCCCGTGAGATGACGGGCTCGGGCTAGCCCGCGGGCTTTTGGTCTTTTTAATTAAAATAATTTTTTTTATTTTTTTTGTATATTTTATCAAAATAATAAAAATGAAACAATAAAAATTACTAATAAAAGGTATAAATATAAATAAAATTGAGTCACAAATATAAATATTATCATGTCTAAACATATATTACAGTATAATAAAGTCTATTGAATAAACAAACTAAATAGAGGACAAATATAAACAACTAAATAAGCATTAAGTTCAGTAGATAATTACAATGTGGATGATCTAGTTTGATTATAAATAATTAACAAAAAAGTTTAACTAACAAACATAGTATGCATAAAGAATAATCATTTATCATACCGACAAAAAAGAAAAGAGTCCATCATTCTTAGTTCTAAATTTGTTTCTACTATAAAAATGATATAGATCTTTATTTTAGTTTAAAAGATTTTTTGATCAATTATATTTCAAGTATAAAAAATATGGGAGAATGATAAATAAAGACTGTAAAAATTATAGATACAGTATTTTAATAGGTTTTGACAACTTATAAATAACAATATATTTTTATGAATATACTAGTTTTAAATTTTGCAATTTTCATGTTTTTTTGGTTATTTTTCCCACAACTATAGTGATTCTTTTTTTCTTTTTGTGAATGCTATCTATGTGAGCTACCAAGATAAGTAAAACTAAGAGTATGCTATGTTTAAAATGTTAGGGTTTTCTTTTTTAAGTTAAGAAAAAAAGACAAAAATTAAAAAAAAATAATTTGGCGGGCCTAAACGGGCCGGCCCGCGGCCCTACAAGGCCGGCCCGTTTATTTTTCGGCCCTACAGGGCTAGCCCTTTTAAGCCCGACTTCCCTTTCAAGACTCCAAAATACAAGCCCGGCCCTTGACTTAAACGGGCTTAAACGGGCCGGCCCGACGGGCTCGGCCCGTTTTCCCGGCTCTAGGTCTGAAGGACGTTTTACATTGATTTCAAGTTCATATGCTGTCTCACATTTAAATAAATGTTATTTTCTTTTTGTTTGGTTAGGCTGCATTGAAAAAGTAACCTGTAGATCTTTGACTAAAAAAAGAAGAAGAGAGAGAGAGGGGTAGCTTGTGGATAAGGTTATAAAAAATGAGTAATTTGTGGATCATTTCATCCTACTAATTTTTTTTTTTTTATTTGAATGACATTAGGGTAACAAAGAAACATTGCCCTACAGTATAAAACTATAAATAATAAATATTTTTATTTCACATAGTACTCGGACTCCAATTTCCCCAAGACAAATAACACTCATTCATTACCAATAGTAGTATATTAATTTCAAAATACTTGCATAAGCAATTTTCATAAAACCACTATTATTTTTAACTTTTTATATAATATTATATTAAAATATTAAAATTGAAATAACATGTCCATTTTGCAGTTGCTAACATTATTTCTCACAATTGTTCAGAATGATCAGACAAATGGAGGAGGGGAATTAAAGATCTTAGTTGTCAAAATCGAGCTTTTATGGGTGAAGCTTCTTCTGTCCAAATATAATTGTGTTACTAGAACTCTTCCTGAAGTCATAAAAAGGAAAAATTCATCAGCCATGCCCAACTATTATAGTGATCCTGGGTCTAGAATTTGGGACTTGGAACTTTGATCATGAACCATCTTCAACTTCCAGCAGTCTTTTATCAAGGAGGTTGTTTGGTTCTTGTATTTGTCCTCTGATTGCATTGTTCTTGTACTCTTTTGAATGAAAATTCACACAACTCCATTCAAAAAAAGAAAAAAAAGACATTATGATATGCTCATAGAGACACTAAACCCAAATTTTGAAACATCTGATAACTGAATTTCTAATTAAAGACAACTGTTATAAAGGGCATCAAGATTATAGGGGCAACCAAAATGTTAAAGCTTCAACAGATGTGGAAGGGCATCAATCAACACACATAAGGCTCTCTGTGTAATTGAAAAACATAATGATAAGTCACATCCACATAAAAGTGAATGCTCAGATCTAGCAGCAGCTAAAGGAAGGACTTTATGTAGTGAGATTTAACGGATATAGGAAGGCCTTCATGACAAAGCAAGAAGCATTAATCTGGGATGAGGTTAGCCCTTCCTTCCCTCTTAGCATATTAAGTGGCCAATAAAACCCACAAAAGATTACATATCATCAACTGAACTATATATTCATACATGAGAATTGAACATATGATGATACAGAAAGCTAAACTAAAGTTTGAAACAAACTAGTACTAAATTTCCCCATTCCAAATCACTGTTCAAAGGGGCCTCAAGGATCATGGATACATCCAAAATGCGGAAAGGTTTGGTGGATTAAAGACGAAAGAAACCTGAAATGCAGAAATAAGAATCATATTCAGGGCAAGGCTATTCAACCTCGGTGTTCCAAACAGACACAAGGCTACTTTCATAATTGAAACCCGCATGGCACTAATGGGCAGATGGAAATTTGCGGAACTCCTTCCATTTTTTAGTAGTGAGATTGAACAGATTAAGAAAGTACACTGGTACATCGTCCTGCTTCAATCTCACATTCAATGCCTAAGAAAACTATTTCATTCCTCCAAATACATACAGGATCTGAAGCATGTGGAAATGTGTCAAAGATATACTCTGACAACTCAAACGCCTCCCAAATTCAGTAGCAACCAGCTCCATCACCCTTATATCCATGGAATTGTCTCTATGGCTACGCCAAAATATAGCAAGTTTGTCAGTGTACACACCAAGATTAACTGGAAAATAGTCATCCACAGACAGCAATGGTGTTATTGTGAACACTTCGGTCACTATGCCAAAAGAAACTAGCACAGGAAAAGAATCCTTTTCTCCTAACCAAACAATTATTCCATCAACACTGGCAGTTCTAAATTTAACTGTTATATTCTATAAAGCTCCAAATTCTAGTTCCTTCCAGGAATCTGTGCTTAATGAATATATTTCGACTCCATCATGCCCTTGTTTGGCGAAATGATAGTCTCGACCTGTTTCTTTCTTCTTACGCAACTCTTGATTATAAAATTTCACTATCTTATAATCATTAAGAATGCTACTGAACCCAAATCCAAACATGCAAAACCAAGAATCAATTGTTGTTTGGGGTATTTCTCTGACCTCTCTAATCATTGGGTAAACAGGAAACCCGTTTCGATAAAGATAGATTTTGACACAAAGCAAGCCATTGCAGGAACCAGTAACACCCCAATTGGGGGGTGTGCTAAAAGATTCAACGGCTTCCATCTTATGATCAAGCAAACAGAAGTACGCACGTCTATCATAGCAATTGTATTCCTGGAGGAGAAGCAAAGGGTTTTTGCGATCAGAGTGGCGTAAGTGTTCAGCGATGAAAGATGGGGATTTGAAGAGATTTTTCCAATCTTTACAGACACATCGAAATCGAACGATGGATTTGACAGGAAGCCTTTTGAGAATGTTGACGATAATCTCGAATGGCAACAAGGGTTCGTCGCCTCCAATCGCCATCTTCTTGCTGGAGGGAAAGGGTTGATGATAATCTTGAATGACACTGGGTTCGAAGCCTTTTTTTCAAGATTGCGCTCTTGGGAAGACAGAGGAGTGGGGTGAAGGAGTGAAAGAGACGATTGCTTTGTGCAATCTCGCAATTCGTAAAGGCAACGGAAAAAAACTATAGTACTAGCATTTTTTTAAGTTTTGCGCATGAGAGGGAGAAATAAGCATTAAAAAGTTCTCTGATAATTGATATGAATTTAATTTTTTTTTTACTGGAGCATTGAATCTTCCGCAATTAATTTTGAATAAAATATCAATATTTAACAGAAAAAATTGCAACTTTCTCCATGTTTTCATGCTGCAGATAGAAATTATAATACACTTTTTTCAACAAAAAAAAATATAACGGACAAGTATGAGGACTGAGGAGTTTAAAAGAAATAATTAGGCTATTTGGACAGTTCCCTAAGATTAAAAAAAGTTTTATTTTTGTGTTGGAAATTTGTGAAAATTTTAAACGTTATTTAATTCAGGTGTGATGTACGTACTCCACTTATTTATAAGACAAAAAGATAATCTTTATTTCAGTTTTGTTTATAAGTTAAGTTATCTTTTATTTATTATTGTTTAGATTTTTTTGGGGTGAAATATTATTGTGAAGATTTATTATTGGCTTAAAAAGCAAATAAAGACTTATTATTGGTTAACATAATTCTATCATAAGGTTATCAAAAACCTAATACTGGACAGACTTTGAAGGATGGATAACAAATTAAACGAGTCTGCATTATATCCTTTGCATGTATGGTCCTTGTGAAACAATATTAGATTTGTAAGCAACATTTCATTTAAACAGATTTTAGAATATGAAACAAATTTAAATTTTTATCCAATTCCCAAAAATTTAAAGTTCTTGATGAGAATGAATGAAAAAAATGTAAACTAATGTAAATTATTCATAACAATTTCAATCCGTTAACAATTCTCTCAAAATATAAGGCCATGGCCTCCGAATACTACCCTGCGTAGGCTATTCCAGTTACAACCATTTCCATGTTTTCACATCTGGAGGAGGGAAAAACTTATTATATGATCATATTGACAGTAGCCCAAAGTTTGAGACGTCCGGTACTGAATTTCTATATTATATACAACAGATATAAGCCATTTTGCAAATCCACTTCCATGAAAGATACAAAGGACATCAATCCACATAAACAAATTGCAATACTTCAATTCATAAGGAGTGAGATTTAGCCGATATAGGGAGGCCTTCATGTTGATTGTTGCATAACAAGCCTATTGTGATGTGCTTCACCAGAAAACGAAGCAGCAACTCAAATAGTTCATTCTCTTGTGCAATGTATCTAACCAATCACTCCATTTGTTTTAGATAAAAAATCACAAAGCAAGAAGCTTTAATCTGTCATGTTAGCCTTTCATTTCTTCTTAGCATATGCAGTGGCCAATGAAACCCCCAAAAAAAAAAAATATTGCAGCAACTAAACTACATATTTATACATGATGTTTGAACGTATGATGATGTGGAACGCTTAAATAAAGTTTGGAACAACTAGTACTGAATTTCTCCATTCGAAATCAAAGGAGCTTCAACGATTATGGATACAACCAAAATGTGGAGAGGTTTGGTGGATTAGAGACAAAAGAAACCTGGAATGCAGAAATAAGGATCATATTTCCGACCAAGGCTATTCAACCTGGGTGTTCCAAACAGATACAAGGCTCCTTTCATAAGTGAAACCAGCACTGCAGTCATGGTTAGATGAAAAGTTGCGGAACTCCTTCCATTTCTTAGTAGTGAGATTGAACAGATTAAGAAAGTACCCTGGTATACCCTCCGACTCATCAGTCTCACTTTCAATGCCTAAGAAAACTACTTCATTCCCCCAAATACATACAGGATCTGGAGCATGTGAAAATGTGTCAATGCTATATTCTTCAGTACAACTCAAACTCCTCCCAGATTCACTAGCAACCTGCTCCATCACCATTATATCCGTAGAATTATATCCATAGCTACGAAAAAATATAGCAAATTTGCCCTGGTACGCACCAAGATTGGTTGGAAGACCGCCATCCACAGACAGTATTGGGGTTATTGTGAACACTTCAGTCACCATGTCGAAGGAAACTAGCACAGGAAAAGAATCCCTTTCTCCCACCCAAACCATCATTCCATCAGTACTAGCAGTTGTAAATGTAACTTCTATATTTTGTAAAGCTCCAAATCCTAGTTCCTTCCATGAATCTGTGCTTAGTGAATACATTTCAACTCCATCATGCCCTTGTTTGGCAACATCATAGTCTTGATCTATTTCCTTCTTCTTACGCAACTCTTGATTATAAAATTTCACTATCTTGTAATCATTAAGGATGCTACAGAACCCAAATCCAAACCTGCAAAAGCCCCAGTAATCATTTGTTGTTTGGGGTATTTCTCTGACCTCTCTAATCATTGGGTTCCATAGACAAAGCGAACGAGGAAACCCGTTTCGATAAAGATTGATTGTGACACAAAGCAAGCCATTGCAGGAACCAATAATGCTCCAATTATATCTAAAGCCATCGATCGAGGGTATGCTCAGAACTTCAATGGTTCCCATCTTATGATTAAGCAAACCTAAGGACGTATGCCCACGATAGCAATTGTATTCATGGAGGAGAAGCAAAGGGTTGTCGTGATCAGAGTGGCGTAAATGTTCAGTGATGAAAGATGGGGTTTTGAAGAGATTTTTCCAATCTTTACACACACATCGAAATCGAACAATGGATTTGACAGGAAGCCTTTTGAGAATGTTGATGATAATCTCAAATGGCAGAAAGGGTTCATTGCCTCCACTCGCCATCTACTTGCTGGAGGGCTCTTGGGAAGAGGAGTGGAGTGAGGGAGTGAAAGAGATAATTGCTCTTTGGAATCTTGCAAAGGCAATAGAGAAAAATTTTTTGCATTAAAAAAAAAAAAAAAAACAGAGAAGAGTGTCCCTAATAAATATTTCAAAGTAAAGCATGTCCACTGCAGCAAGACACAGGAAAGCAACATCAAAAACCAAACTTCCATGTTTGACATCAACTGATAAAGAAAGCAGAGAACATGTTTGACATGAAACCAAACACGGGGCCACTGGAACAAAAATAAAGCATAACTTATTAGATATCATATTATGAAAGAAAATCACTTGTTGATGTGTGTATCATATGGAACAGAACTAATGAAACGAAGATCAAGTCAAAGCAATAAATATTTATCAAGCATGTGATTAAGAAATATTGTTTCCTAAGCTGAGTCTTGAATAGAAATATTCTAAATTGCCCTAAAGGATTTTCTGATATGCTGGGGGAGCTTTTGAAAAGGAACAAAAGCCACTCTGTGCTGGTCTCTGTTCTTCATTGATGGAATCTTCTAAGTCTAAACCCTCCTTCATTTGTGACTGAACCAAGCAGATCAAGGATTTGCATCTTAAAAGTCGTGGATAAAATAAGTGATCACAAGAATACAGGGCCAAGGACATGAACAAATTAAATTTTACGATTAATAACGGAATAAGTTTGACATTTCTTAGGACTCAAAAAGCAGTACGAGAGTAATGAACAGAGAACATGCTTCAAAGAGTTCAAAGACTACAGGTAACCTCAAAGGTTATTATCCCCCTTACACATGCAGGCAAATAATATATCAAGGTCTAGATATTATATTACAATAATTAATCATTTGCATAACCATAAACTATTTGAAAATCTACACTCTCCCTGTTTAAATTCAAAAGCTAGTTCTTAAACATACCACAATGCTTGCTTTTTTTCCACTTGGAGTTGAGAATACAAGGAATGACGGAATCATTAAAGCAAGATTGTGCTGGGATTATAAAATACGTCGAGGACGAAAACAGAAAAGGGATGATGGTGAGTTGGGTTAGATATGTTGGGAGAATGCGCTGTCATAAGCATTGCTTGTAGCCAGTGAAAGACAGGACACCCAGAGATTGAGGTTTATCCAAAGTACTCAGCATCCGAGTGGCGGGGAACAATGAGAGTTACAGCAAGCAACAAAAACAAATCGTATAAACAAAAACCCACTAAATGATGCAGATCAGGTTTTAGCTCAAAAACCCACTAAATGAATCAGACAAGGAGAGAGAGTAGAGGCTGAGGACTCACCGATTGAGGACTAAGGAGGGAGGAAAGAGAGATTGGAGATGGGAAGCACCGAGAGGAGAAGACGGCGAGCACCGAACACTGAGACCGGAGGGTGAGGGGACGACGAGCACTCAAGCCCCCAAGGGACCAGGGAGCAAGCGGATAAGAAAAACGAAGGACGCGGCTTCTCTTTTCTCTTACGGTTTTACCGTTCGCGGCCATCCCATGCCGCCAAAACTGCGCCGTTTTGGAGGAAAACAGGGGAGGATTTTTTTTTTTAATAATTCTAACATTTTAAAATATTTTTTCAGTATTATTTAATATCCAAAATTAATTTTTAAAACATTTAATACTCTAAAATATATTTTTTAGTGGCACCTAGTATCTAACACCTAACACCCTGCATTTTCTAATAACACTTAATATCTTAAAATAATTTTGGTTCCCTTAACATTCTAAAATATTTTTTTAGTAACGCTTATTATCTAGAATTCAGTACATTAAAGTATCTTAAACTAAATTTTAGGGTATTCAATACCTTAAAATATTGCACTAAAAATTACTCTAAGATGCTAAATACTCCACCAACCTAAATATAAGACCTTTTTATAGTGTAATACTACCTCCGGTCCTTATTATAAGACTCCGTTTGACTTTTTGTTTGGTCTTAATTATAAGACCCCAATCCATTTTATATCTCATATTTATACATTTTTTTCCAAGATAATCCTTCTAATAATGATAGTTCTAGCCAATATACTTAATTAGCAAGGATATTTTAGGAATGACAACACTTATTTATTACAAATAACTAACTTAACTTACTTCCTTAATCTCCTCAAATAAGTCAACCGGGTCTTATAATTAGGACCGGAGGTAGTAGTATTTTTTTCAGTCCTAAATATAAAACATTTTTTGTAATATAATTTACACTACAAAAGGGATTTTATATTTAGAACTGAAAGAATATTATTAAAAAATATTTTAAGGTGTTGGATGAACTAAAAATTAGTTTGAAACATTGAGTACCACTTAAAAAAATACTTCTATGTGATAGATACTAAATGATAGGCATTAATAAAAAACTTTTAGGATATTGGGTATTATTAGAAAATACTTCAGGGTGCTAAATGTTTGATAACGAAAAATAGCTTACACTAAGTGCACTAAAAATTAATTTAAAATACTGAATGACACTGAAAAATTATTTTAGGATGCTAATTTTTTAAAAACAAATTCATCGTCTCTCATTTTCCCCAAAACAGCGTAGTTTCGAAGTTAAGAATGGCAACGGCAGGGAAAAAAGGATAAAAGCCGCGTCCAAAAACAAATCACCGGTTTTTTTAAACACTTAATTAAAAATAGATTGGGCCTTGTTTTTTTCAATCAGTTTTTAATTTTTAAAAATAAAAGTAATAAAAAAATCTCTTTAGTAATTTGTTGTTTTTATGAGAAACTTTTTTTATGAAATTTAGTAATTTTTTTAGTTAATTATTTTTAAAAATAAAAAACATAAATGTGTTTTTAAAAACTAAAAAACCAAAACAATTTTTAGTTTTTTTTTAATTTTCTGTTTTAGCAAAATTGGAAACCCTTTCTTCTCCGTTCCATAGCTTTCACTTCATTTGAGGACTTGAGTTTTTATTGAAGATTTATTCTGCGATCTCAATATATTTATTTTTAAACATAATTTTTTTAGAATAATTATCCAAACATATTTTTTTATTTTTTAAAACTTGTTTTAAAAAATAATTTTATAAATTTTTTGAGAAAAAACAAATAGACCAATAAATAGATTTTTTTTTAAAAAAACTGTTGAAAATATATAAACAAACTAGCCTTATGTTTTTTTCAAGTATTGCGAACTGATATGCATTGGAAATTTATTTTTTCAGTGGAGTTTTCCCCGGCTAATTTTGAATAAAATATGGGATTTAACAGAAAAAATTTTAACTTCCTCCATATTTGCATGCTGCAGATAAAAATTATGATAGACATGCATGAAGAGGTTAAAAGTAATTCATCAAAAAAAATAAAACATGTATATTAAAATGAACTATGAAAAGACATAATTAGGCTATTTAGACAATCCTCTAGGATTCCCCCAGCCCCAAAAAAGTCCTATTTTTATGTGTCGGGAAATTGTAGAAATTTTAAAGCATTATTTGATTAATGTGTGATGTAAGTTCTATTTATAAGACAGAAAAATAATGTTTATTTTGGCCTTATTTGTAAATTACATTGTTAAATTTTTATAAGATTTCATTTATTATTGAACAGACATTATACTAATTGTAATAATATATGTTAAATAAGAGTAAAATTGAAAAGTAATTAAATTTTAAATTTTAAATAGAGTTAATCAGAATCAAAACATTTATTAATTTTGGTTTATCATGTTGACATTAATTTATAGCAGACACGATCAAACCTAATACTAGTCATCACTCATTAAAATTTGAAGGATGGACAACAAACTAAACGACTGGGTATGGAAATTTTTCTAAGCCCCACTAGATTAATACTACTTTTGATTCTTAATATAAAAACTAGTTGACTAATTTAAATAAATTAAGAAAGCTTATTAAGTTACTTATTTACAACAATTAAGTGTTGTCTTCCCTAGACAACCCTTACTAATCATATGTATTAATTAAAACTACTATTTGATTGAACATTTAACATGTACAATTACTACAAAGACTAATTTGGAAAAAATGGATAAATATGATAGACAAATTGAATTGAAGTTTTATATTTAGGACCAAAATAAAAGTCAAACAAGGTCTTATATTAAAGACCGGAGGTAGCACACTTCTTCTAAAAGGAACCGGATCGAAGAAACCAATTTAAAGTTTTATCCAATTCTAAAAAATTAAAAATTCTCGATGAGAATGAATAGAAAAAGTAAATTAAACTTAATTGACCCACTTCATGCGTCATCCTCTGCAGTCGCTTGATGGAATATAAGGCCAGTCACAATTTTAATGTGAATTAATCATAACTTACATTAGTCATAATAAAAATTTTAATGTGTTGATGTCTCTCCCAAAATATAAGGCCAGTCACAACCATTTTCATGTTTAATTTTCACATTTAGGGGAGGAAAACTTATGATACGCTCATTCAGACAGTAAATAATCCAAAATTTGAAACAACTGCTACTGAATTTTTATACTATAGGCGACCGATGTAAAGGGCATCAAGATTATAGGAGCAACCAAAATGTTTAAAGCCATTTTACAAATTCACTTCAACAACAAATATAAAGGACATCAATCCACAGGCATAAGGCTCTCTTGTGTAATTGAAAAATATAATG